ATACGAACATTTTCTCTCTGCATTTCAAATTTATTTATGACGAAACCATGCTGTTGTTTCCTTTTCTTACGCAATATACTAAATATAGGCATATGATTCAATATCTTATATTATAAATGAGGAATATAAAAATGTGACCAATTTCATTAACATGGCTATACACATTTTAATAAAAATAACAGGAATTACGACCTTTCCCATATCGCAGATGGTGACTTCAGCAAAATATAAAATCACGGTAACTAGGTGTTAACCCATTCATTCATTCAACCAGAGTATTTAGTATCTTCTATTTACCAGGATCTCCATATGAGCATTTGGTAGTAGGGACGCAATCAGTGTGAAATAAGATTACAAACAATAAAATGATACACAGAAGAGTGGGGTTGTGTGGGGTGCCTGGCTGGCTCTGTTGCAAGGAAGAACATGCAACTCTTGATCTCGGGTTGTGAGTGCAAGCCCCGTTAGATGTAGCAATTGCTTAATATATTCAAAGAATCTTTAAAAAAAAAAAAAAAAAAAGTAGAAGTTGTGAGAGGAAGATCTTAGTCTAAGGTTTTATTCTAGGCATATCACTAGAAAGGAAAATTTGAAAACTGAAAGGAATAAGTGGGAGTTTACTGGCGTTGGGAGAAAAAGCAAAGAGTAAAAAGTGTTTTAAGACCCTGGTCAAGATGTGTTTGATAAAGGAACTAAAGAAAGGTCAAGGTGGCTAGAGACACTCAGGAGGTTGTCTTTTTCTAAAGGGACAGGAAAAAAACATGGGCTGTAGGTTCCTCTAGCCCTCAGGAAAGCCAATCTGAACACAGAACCACAAAAAGCTCATCCTAAGCAAACAAATTTAAATATGAAGGGGACACCCTTTACATGATTGAGGACTGTATAGCCTTAGAGGATCAAAGCAGGAGGATGTACTCTTGGGGTGCGTCCCTATATCCCTCCCACTATGAAGAGTCCCAGTTAATCTGATACCATAAAGAGAAGATCCATCAAAGTGCAAAAAATATAAATGAACAGAAATGGTATAAAGAAATAAAGTTACTGGGCCTTTGATCTTCAACATGTTTGATAAAACTGCCTGTTGAGGGTTGCTGGCCGTCCGATGGTATCCGTTCTAAAGTCATAAACTCCAGATAAATCTCCGAAATTTTCGGTGTGTTAGCTGAGTATATCACTATCTCAGCACCCACCAACCCAAAAACTTTGCTATTTGCCACATTAACGGAAATGCTTTTTTCTGATATTAATACCAAAATTGTTAAACTGATAAAAATACTTTAACACATATGAAAAAAAAAATCAAGATTTAATTTTCAAATAACTTTCTCAAAATATTTTAGAAAGGATGCATTTTTTTTTGTTTAACCATCTTCAATAAATGTTTGGAAATTCCTTAGATGTGCTCTATAATGGTTTATTAAAATAAATATAATTCATTTTCTTTAATTACTCTTTCAAATCAAATAATCAAAAGATTTAACTGTGACCGTTTTTCTTAAATGACACTTAGCAGATTTACTCGTTTTGTTACTTTGTTCAAAGAAGTCTTCCCCCATAACTCATTTACAATTCTCACCTAAGGGCTATGAAGGAAATGCCACACAAGGTTGAAAAAAAGAAGTGTCACATTTAAGCACATCTATTGCACCTTATAAACACAAGAGAGTGGCCTGGGTGGCTCAGTCAGGTTGGGTGTCTGACTTTGGCTCAGGTCATGATCTCACAGTTCCTGAGTTCGGTCCCATCGGCCCCACGCTGGCCCCACATCAAACCCCACATCAAGCTGGCTGTTGTCAGCAGGGAGCAGGCTCTGGATCCTCTGACCCCTTCTCCCTTGGTCCTCCCACTCTTGTTCTCTGTCTCAAAACAATAAATAAAATAAATAAATAAATAAGTAAATAAATAAACAAACAAATAAAATAAAGAATGACTACTATGATTTATATTAAGAGTCATCAAACATTCTAATTGTGAAACATCTTAACAGCTTTGGTTATAATTTCTGAAAATCATCATATATAACGCGTCTAAACATTTTTCTATTTGTACTTTTCTAATTTGTATAGAAATTAAATCAAATAGGGGCACCTGGAGTAGCTCAGTTAAAAAGCCCTGCCCGCGCTCACTCAGATCTCATGGTTTGTAGTTCGGCCCCAAGTCAGCTTTCTGCTTGTCAGAGCCTGGAGCCACGGATTCTGTCTCCCTCTCTCTGCTCCGCTCCTCTCTCTCTCAAAAAATAATAAACATTAAATTTTGATTAATTAAATAGAAAAGGATCAGCATTTATTGTTCAGGTGCCCAATTCACTGTCTTGTCTAATACAAGACAGTTCCTTCTAATTTTTTTTTTTAATGTTGTTATTTTTTCAGGAGAAAAGAAGCTTCAGCAGCGTCTTGAGGAGGGAGAACGAACAGAAGGAAATAGGAAACAGGCTCCAGGCTCAGGGCTCAGCTGGGAACTGGCTCAATACCAGGTTAAAATCACCAGACTGTTGAGTCACCTGCCTTAACAGGCCACCCGACGCCCCCTGAAACAGGTCTTTTAAACATGCAGCAATAGGTACCAGCTGAAGCACAATCATATTTGGTTGTGGTACAGAACTGGATGGGAAGAATAACTGTAACAACCAAAGGAAAAGATGTGTAAATTCTTCCCCGCCCCTCATTTTCATACCAGTCTATACCAATTGCTTTTTCCATTCCGTGTTTCCACTACACTTTAAGACACTTTAAGCTGACATCGTAACATGGCCAATCTCCTAAGATTTACATTAATAAAAAATAATTTAAAATTACAGCCACTGTACATCAATGCAAAAGTTAAAATCCTAGTATCTTCAGTGATACAAGCTAACGTATCTATGAAGATAACAATGACAGTCACACAGACTGCACCCAGAACAGAGGGGTGAGAGCCCCAAAGGAGTCCTGCCACTTGCCTGATTCAAGGTAATTTACTAAAACCCTTCTAGATCTCACTTTTTCGTCTCATCTGTTTAAAATATAAAAAAGAAGTGGGAGATGAAAACTGCGTCTGCAACCTTACGGCAGTAGCACGGATTAGATAACACGTTAATACAAATTACCCGCTCAGAACATCGCCGGTCTCGGGACAAGCGCTCAGTATGTATTGGCTCCTATTGCCTTGCCCTCTGCTCTGGACCAGTATTTGAGGAGACCTCCCAAACTGAACAGTCACAACCTCCACGAAACAAATCACCTCCTGCCTCCCTTAAGGCTGAGGAACTTGCCCTGAAAGGAAGCGAAAAGACACGAGACCTCATCCACAGCCTGGAGCCGCCACAAATTCGCGCTGCCAAGGAGGCAGGGGCGGCCGCGAGACGCCAGGAAGACCCCGGCCCGCGCGGCCAGAGAGAGAGGGAGAGACAGAATCCAAAGCGGGCTCCAGGCTCTTGAGTGGTCAGCGCAGAGCTGGACTTGGGGCTTGAACTTACAAACCATGAGATGATGACCTGAGTGAGGCGAAGTGGGCAGTGGGCGCTTAACTGAGCCACCCAGGTGCCCCTATTTGATTTAATTTCTATAATAAATTTAGAAAGTACAAATAGAAAATGTTTAGACGGTTATATATGATGATTTTCAGAAATTATAACCAAAGCTGTTAAGATGTTTCACAATTAGAATGTTTGATGACTCTTAATATAAATTTATAAAGTCTTTAGTCATTCTTTATTTATTTGTTTGTTTATTTATTTATTTATTTATTTATTTATTTATTGTTTTTGAGAGACAGAGAACAAGAGTGGGAGGGACCAAGGGAGAAGGGGTCAGAGGATCCAGAGCCTGCTCCCTGCTGACAACAGCCAGCTTGATGTGGGGTTTGATGTGGGGCTCAGTGTGGGGCTGGATGTGGGACTGAACTCAGGAACTGTGAGATCATGACCTGAGCCAAAGTCAGACACCCAACCGACTGAGCCACCCAGGCGCCCCTCTTGTGTTTATTTTTAAGCAGCAATTAGATAAAAGTTAAAATGTGACACTTTTTTCAACCTTGTGTGGTGTTTCCTTTCATAGCCCTTAGGTGAGAATTGTAAATGGAGTTGTGTGTGGGGGAAGACTTTTGAACTAAAGTAACAAAAACGCAGTAAATCTGCTAAGTGTCATTTAAGAAAAACGGGTCACAGTTAAATCTGATTTATTTGATTTGAAAGAGTAATTAAAGAAATGAATTATATTTATTTTAATAAACCCATTATGATTTTATGCCATCTAAGGAATTTCCAAACATTTGCCAAGATGGTTAAACAAAAAAAATGCATCCTTTCTAAAATATTTTTGAGAAAGTTATCTCTGAAATTAAATCTTGATTTTTTTTTTCATATGTGTTAAAGTATTTTTATCAGTTTAACAATTTTGGTATTACTGGGGAAAGCATTTCCTCTGCTAATGTAGCAAATAGCAAAAGTTTTGGGTTATGGGTGCTGAGGATAGTGATATTGCTCACACACACCAGAAAATTTGTGATTTATCTGGAGTTTATGCACTTGTAGATTGATCTGGATACTATCGACGTCAGCAACCTCAACAGGCAGTTTTTGTTTCAAAAGAAACATGTTGGAAGATCAAAGGCCCAGGTAACTTTACTTTTCTTATACCATTTCTGTTCATTTATATTTTTGCACTTTGATGGATCTTCTCTTTATGGTATCAGATTAACTGGGACTCTTCAGTGGGAGGGAGAGTATAGGGGACGGCACCTAAGAGTACATCCTCCCGTTTTGATCCTCTAAGGCTATGCTGTCCTCAATCGTGTAAAGGGTGTCCCCTTCATATTTAAATTTCTGATTGTTTGCTTAGGATGAGCTTTGTTCTGTGTTCCTGCAGATTGGCTTCTCCTGAGGGCTAGAGAACCTACAGCCCATGCTCTTGTCCCTTTTAGAAAAAGACAACCTCCCTGAGGTTCTAGCCACCTTGACCTTTCTTTAGTTCCTTGAATGTTCCATCTTGACTCAGGGTCTTAAAACACCTTTTTACTTTGCTTTTTCTCCCAACGCTTTTGGCAAACTCCCACTCTTATCTCCTTTTCAGTTTTCAAATTTTGGCTTCCTTCTCTAGTGATATGCTCTGAATAAACCTCTTAGACTAAGATCTTCCTCTCACAACTTCTACTCTTTTTTTTTTTTTTTTTTTTAAAGATTCTTTGAATATATTTAAGTAATTGCTACATCTAACGTGGGGCTTGCACTCACAACCCGAGATCAAGAGTTGCATGTTCTTCCTTGCAACAGAGCCAGCCAGGCACCCCACAACTTCTACTTTTTCTGTGTATCATTTATCATTGTTTGTAATTTTGTTTACACTGATTAGTGTCCCTTTGGCTTACCAAATGCTTCATAGAGATCCTGGTAAATAGAAGATACTAAATACTTGTTGAATGAATGAATGGGTTAACACCTAGTTACTGCATTTTATATTTTTGCTGAAGTTTACCATTCATGTAGATGTATATATGGGAAAGGGCCGGCTCTCCTGTTATTTTTATTAAAATGTGTATAGCTTAATGTTAATGAAATTTTGTCACATTTTTATATTCCTTTAGCTTATAATATAAGATATTAAATTTATATGCTTATATTTAGTATATTATGTAAGTAGGTGAAATAACAGTATTGTTTGCCATAAATAAATTTGAAATGCAGAGAGAAATGTTGTAGCAATCAATTTAGTAATTGAGTGTTGTTTGTTTTTCCAGGTTGCTAAAGAAAGTGTACTGCAGTTTTACCCGAAAGCTAATATCATAGCCTACCATGACAGCATCATGAAGTATGTTCTAATTATTATGTTGCAGAATTGAGTTTGTTGTGAGTTAAACTTTCAAAGTATATGGTATTTTTATTAGCTACATGAGCTTGAGGTCATTCTGCTTTTTAAGAATTTTTTTCTTTTTATCTTAACTCTAAAGAACAAACTGATGGTTATCAGAGGGAAGGTGCAGTGGGTGGAGTGGGGGTGGGTTAAATAGATGAAGGGTATTAAGGAGGGCACTTATGATGAGCGCCTGGTATTGTATGTAAGTGTTGAGTCACTAAATAGCTAGTGTAACACTGAATGTTAACTAACTGAAATTTAAATAATAATTTTGTAAAAAATTTTTTCTAGAAAAATTAAAATGTGGTAGCTTGTACTCACATAATAAGTTGTGTTTTTTAAATTTATATGATTTCAGGGAGTTAGATAAGAGGTAAGATATTTTAATACTTTAAATGAGTTACTTTTTGAATGAGTTACTTTTTAATGAGATTTTTTTAAATGAGTTACTTTTTAATGAGAAACTTATAAAGGGCCTTTATTTTTGTTTTAAATAAAGATATAGTAAATTATGAAAAATCCTTACATAATGATCCAGACTTTTCTAAGTATATTGCTCTCATTCTGATTGATTTCATCTGTGGTCTTCTTCAGTTTCAAAGGTTGCTTCCCAAAATATTTATTTTGACTATGACTTCTATAATATAACACTAGGAATTGTGAAGGGGTCATAGTTTTCACAGTACATAAATATTCTCTGCTCTCCATGAATATATAACTATGGAAGTGTTGGGGCAAAGGAATCCTGGATCTAAATTATCCTTGATGTATAGCTGTTGTCTGGCTTACAAGTAAATGGTATTAAAAGTAATAACTTCTCATTTGAGGTCTGGAATTAGAGAAAGTCTTACACTTTCTCCGGAAATATGTATCTCCACCTTTTTTATTCTCTGGTTGTTTGCTCTGCAAGCCTTTGCCTAGCCCTATAACCCTCTTACCCGTATTGCTTTCCCAGTGCTGCTAAAAGTGGGAACCCTAGAGGCCTGAACCCTGCCTGATCCTGACCATGTGAGGTGAAGCCAGAGGCCAGGCATATCCTGGGAATGTGTTCTTTGTCTGTTCCCAGGCTGCCCAGAGAGGGCCATGGGACCTGTGAAGCCATGCCATCTTTCTGCCAGTTTGAGATCCTGCTCTTGAGCCCTGGGTAGCTGGCCAGAAAGGGTGTCTAGTCACAGGGATTAGTGGGAAGTAATTTCGTTAAAATCTGCTTATGGCATTTGGAAAAAATCAAAATATAATAGAGACCCCTCCCTAATATCAGTTATTTTTGCACCATTACTTTAATACGCTTTTTAGGACCCTGTATTATGCCGTGAAGATCATGTGTAAGGCCAGTTGTTTTGGTGACATTTGTTTTATTTTGTTTTGTAGCCCTGACTATAATGTGGAATTTTTTCGACAGTTTATATTGGTTATGAATGCTTTGGATAACAGAGGTGAGATTATTTTTAATACATTTAATTTCTAAGTATTTTCCTTCCCCTATAACAAGGCTGTTTATACTTTTTAGTATTTTAAATATTTCCTCAGTAGTTCGAATCCAGAGAGAAGTAAGGTTAGGTTTAAAGTTTACCAATTGGTTGTAATTTTAACTAGAACAGGCAAGAATTTAGCTATCATATACTCTGCTATTCTACCAAAAGGTGTGAAGATAGAAGTTGTTAAAACGCTAAAGAGGGTGAGTACATTTGGTATGTGGGTGTGTGCTTGTTTCAGAGTATTCCATCACTGAAGCACAGTGTGACTTCCTTCATTTATATGGAGATGAAATATCAATGCCTACATCCCACCAACACCAATTAAATCAGACTCTGAATATCATAATTTTTCAATTTCCTACGTGATTCTAAAGTGCAATCAGGGCCCTAAAACCATGGTTTTGAGAATGTGGCAACAGGTTGTCAAAGTTAGCATAGATGCCATGGATCTTGAATTATTTTAGATATGGTTGGTGCCATAAAATATCAGCCTAGATTCTATTTAGATGTACACATTTTGAACCATTGAAGCTTTTCACAGTAGGGGGTGATGTTTCTTATAATCAAGTATTGTATAGCCAGTCATTGTTCCACATGTAAAACAACACCAGTGGAGTGGTTTGTAACAATTTTGAGCCAGAAATACCAAAGAAAAAACACAAAGCAGAGAAAGGGTCAGGATGACTTACTAGACTCCTTTTTACTCCCCTTGCCTTAAACTGCCTTTATAGTTCCAAGTTGATATTCCACATTCTCCATTCATTGCCATGTGTTACCTGATAATTTTATTAGAATAATAGTAAGTTAAGGACTCAGAATTCATTGAGACAATATTTTAGCCAAGATTACAGCTATAGAATAGAAAGGTGACACTTTGGAATTTAAAAAGTATAGTAAGGGTGCTTTTTCTTGGAGTAAATTTGTCATATAAATTCCTTGTATTTGGAATTTTGCTAGCGAATGTCTCTTATGTAACAGTTGTATTACCCTGGTCATAGCTATAAGAAAATTGCATATAAAAATAAAATAAGTTTGGGTAAATGTCATCCTAATTAAAGGTAACTGATTTTTCCCCCCATCAACTCCTGCTAACTAGTGTTTTTCTTCTAGCTGCTCGCAACCATGTTAATAGGATGTGCCTGGCAGCTGATGTTCCTCTTATTGAGAGTGGAACTGCTGGTTATCTTGGGCAAGTAACTACCATCAAAAAGGTAAAATAAATTTTTTTTACTTCCCAAATATTTGTGATCTTATGGAGGGAAGAAGTAAACTTTGGGTTTACATGATATGGGCTGGTTAGTACCCAAGATGTAGGGATTTTTGTACTCTGATAAAACTAGATACTGTATCAAGTAATAAAGAGTATTATAAGCAGAGATTTTTTTTTTTTTAACTCTGTGCTACTTTGTTTCTGTAGCTTGTATATTAAAATTATTAGACTGGTAAACATAATAAAATTGCCTTTTAAAATTCTTTGTAGCTGAGGCTACATGTCATGCTGTAGTTGATATATGATGAAACTGCCTTCTGCAAAGTTATTTTTTATCTAAAGTCTAGGTTCATAGATCTGAAGAGTACTTTGAAAAATTTTGGTGTCTTTGTGAAATATTTCAAATGTTTAGATAAAACTAGAGAATAATAGAGTAAATAAATACCTGTGCACTCAAACCCAGTTTATAAAATGCAGCATTGTGGTTTGTTGTTGTTTTTTGTTTGTTTTTGTTTTCTAGTTCTTTCAAGGAAATTAAACATAGATACATTTGAAGAATCATTTTGCAGGTTTTGAAACCAAAAGGAATTACACTTGACTTAAAATTTGCTATTTTTGTCCGTTATTTGGCAGTTTACCCATGTTGAAAATTGTGGCTCTGCTTCATTTGTTTCAGCTGATAAATACTACTCTTGGAAGCTTATTTAGTATCATTCTACAAAGACTGTTGTAAATGTCAGCATGTGTTAAATTTTAGTTAAATCAGTGGATTCCTTCAGGATCTATTCATAGGTCAAAGCAGTAGTTCTCTTGTTTTCTACTGTGATTTAAGGAATGGCTTGCCCCCAAGAAAGCTTATTCAAAGGACACCAGAAATGGTATTATGGAGAAAACCCTGGATCTGGTGCCATTTATGTTAAAACACTATTTGCCAGTTGGGGTTCTTTTTTAGGTTTCTTGTTGAGAGAGAGAAAGTGCATGCATGAGCCAGTGGGGAAGGGACAGAGAGAGAGGATCTGATTGGGCTCTGTGTTGACAGCAGAAAGCCTGATGTGGGGCTCCAAGTCAGGAACTATGAGGTCATGACCTGAGCTGAAGTTAGACTGAGCCACCCAGGCTCCCCTCAAGTTTTGGTTCTTTAACCATTATTGTAAAGACATTGCTTATTGACATGATCTTAAGATATTAGTATGTATTAAGACTGAGGTTGAGAATTGCTCAATTGAGGAATATTCATCTGATGGTTTTGAAAACTTGTCTTATGTACCATAGACTTCTTCCAAGGATTCCTTATGGTGCAAGTTAAAATGTAAGCTTAACTGAGTTCTTCCTGAAACCAGTATTGCACTGTATGTTAACTAACTAAAATTTTAAAAATAAAATGGAAAAAAAAAAGATGTAAGCCTAAATCAACAAAATGAAGAGTATTGGTTTGGTAATAGCCAGGAATTTTCTGTGTATCTAGGTAGTTCTTGAAATTAATAATTACTTTTAATTTGCTTAGTTTTTAGGAAATTACAAGTAACACAAATATAATGGGTAATATTTAAATATTTGACAGATAATTGGTTAGAAAGCTGTTGTTTGTCTATCTAGTAATTTTTCTTTTGTTTAATGTGATTAAGGTAAACTTCTTGTGTTTGATATTCAGGTACAGTAATTTCCTTTGGGTTGTTGTAAGTGGTGTTCACTGGTCCAGGAGTCAGAGAAATCCTGGCTTAGACTTAGCTGTGACTGTGATTGATTCAGTTCATATTTGTTATAGTTCCTCATCTGTAAAGTAAGAATTTTGGAGTCACTAATATTTTAAAATTTCCTTGACAGTACAAAATACAGTTGGAATGTAGATGAATGAATGTTTATGATGACATTACTCTATAGTGTTGGAAAACCACCATCATGGGATAAATGTTCTTCTCATATCCTGATTTTGCAGGGTGTAACTGAGTGTTATGAGTGTCATCCCAAACCTACACAGAGAACTTTTCCTGGCTGTACAATTCGTAACACACCTTCAGAACCTATTCATTGCATCGTTTGGGCAAAGTATTTGTTCAAGTAAGAGTATATATATTTCTGGGTATATTTTCAGTACTGATGATAGGAGATGGGGCTGTTTTTATTTAAATCTCTTGGAGAGATTACAATGAATATTCTTTTATTTACTTATTTATTTTAAAGAGTTTATTTATTTATTTTGAGAGAGAGAGCACGAGCTGGAGAGAAGCAGAGAGAGAGGGAAGGAGAGAATCCTAAGCAGGCTCTGTGCTGTAGCATAGAGTCCAATATGAGGGCTCAAACTCATGAACTGTGAGGTCGTGACCGGAGCTGAAATCAAGAGGCAGACGCTTAACTGACTGATCCACCCAGGCACCCCTAGATGAATATTCTTTTAAATATGGTGGAGATATTCGGTAGATTAAATTCAGTCAACATTGCATGCCTGTTTTTAATTCATTGGTTAAAAACTAATGGAAATTAAAAATACTTTTTAGTGATAACGAAAGTGATACATGTGAAAGTTGGATGCATCAAATATGGTAGCTGGAAGAAAAGTTCTAGGCTTACACACTTGAAGAAAGATGAACGTTAATGTGCTAAGGATCCAACTTAGAAAGACAGGATAAACTCCAAAGAAATTAGCAGGAAGGATATAATTGAGATAAGAGGGAAAAAATACTTTATCGAGTTCATCATGAAAAGGACAGGAAAGATGAATAACTAAATGGAGAATGTAATCTCAGCATAGATTTAAATGATAGTAAAGAACAAAAGGATGATAATAAAAATACCATGCCAGTATACTGAAAATTTTAATGATCTGGATAAATTCATTTTAAAAAACTTTAAAAAACCCCAAAAAATTAATTAAAAAAGAAATAGAAAGCCTGAACTGTACTATGTCTTAGGGGAGTTTAATCAGTCGTTTTAATTCTTAGTAATGCAACAAACCTTTATGAATTTACAGGTGATTTCCACTGAATTTACAAGTAATATATCATTCTAATAAGGTAAACTGTCCTAGAGACATTTTTTAAAAATGCAGTACTTCTTAGTTTTTATTATGGGACTCTGATGTCTTTATAACGAAACCAGTTAAGGCCATAATGGAATAAAAGGAAAATTTCAGGACATTCTCATTCATAAACATAGATGCAAAAATCCTATACAAAATATTTGCATACAAATCTAGAATTGTGTAAAACAAAAAGTATACCACGACAAGGTTGTGTTTATTCTAAGAATACAAGCCACAATTTAATACACATCATTCACTTCATTAAGAAAATAAAGAGAAACTGGATAGCCTTCATAGATGCAGAAAAAACATTTGACAAAATTCAGGAAATACCCTTTCATGACAAAAATTGTGGGTTTTTTTTTTTAAGATTTTATTTTTAATCCTTTATTTTAAGTATTCTCTATACCCAACGTGGGAATTTTACAACCCCAAGATCAAGAGTCGCACACTCCACCAACTGAGCCAGCCAGGTGCCCCTCATGACAAAAATTCTTAATAAAATATGAAGAAAACTTTATCAACCTGGTAAAAGATGCCTTTTACAAACCTACAGCAAACGCTGGTTTTCGGGGAGCCTTGCTGGCTCAGTCGGTGGAGCATGCAATGTGACTTTTAATCTCAAGGTTGTGAGTTCAAGCCCCACATGGGGCATGGAGCCTAGTTAAAACAGAGTTTGTTTGATTTTCTTTGATTATGGTATAATGTATATGCACTCAGAAGAGTATGCATATAATGGTATAATGATGAAATTTCACAAAAAATGTAAGCTTCATTTAGCAGACTTTTTTTCTTTTTAACAGACTTTTTAGAACAGTTTCAGATTTACAGGAAAATTGAGAAGATAGAACAGAGTTCTCACACCCAATTTCCTCTGTTAGCATCTTATGATACATATGTAACAATTATGGAACCACTACTGGTATCTTTATTAACTGAAGTCCATAGTTTATTTAGAGAGCCCTTTGTTTTTACCCAGTGTCCCTTTTCTGTTCCAGGATACCACATTACCATTAGATGTCTGTCATGTCTCTTTAGGCCTCCTTTGACTGTGACAGTTTCTCAGGCTTTCCTTGTTGTCTGTGACCTCCAAAGAAATTAGGAGGAGTCTGGAAGACTGGTCTGGAAGAGTACTGGTCAGGTATTTTGTAGGATACCCCACTATTGAATTTTTTTTTTTTTTTCATGATGATACTATCATTTTGAGCTGTTGAGAGGGAAATCACAGAGGTAGTTAAATTGCCATTTTCGGGGCGCCTGGGTGGCGCAGTCGGTTAAGCGTCCAACTTCAGCCAGGTCACGATCTCGCGGTCCGTGAGTTCGAGCCCCGCGTCAGGCTCTGGGCTGATGGCTCAGAGCCTGGAGCCTGTTTCCGATTCTGTGTCTCCCTCTCTCTCTGCCCCTCCCCCGTTCATGCTCTGTCTCTCTCTGTCCCAAAAATAAATAAACGTTGAAAAAAAAATTTGCCATTTTCATCACATCATGTGAAGAATATGTTATTTACAAGATTGATGACTGTTAATGTTGGCCTTGATCACTTAGCTAAGGTAGTGTTTGTCCGGTTTCTCTACTGTAAAGTTTCTCACTTTTTTAATGTTTATTTTTGAAGGAGAGAGAGGGTGTGAGCAGGAGAGGGGCAGAGAGAGAGGGAGACACAGAATCCAAAGCAGGATCCAGGCTCTGAGCTGTCAACACAGAGCCCGACGCAGGGCTAGAGCTCATGGGCCATGAGACCATGACCTGAGCCTAAGTCAGACACTTAAACGACTGAACCACCCAGGTGCCCCTTTCACCCCCACTTTCTATATTGTGCCATGCACTTTGGAAGGAAGTCACTCTGTGCAGCCCACACCTAAAGAATGGGAGCGGTTTTCTGCTTCCTTGAGGGCAGAGTATCTATGTAAGTTATTTAGAGTTCTTCTGCCTGGAGGGTTTGTCTCTGCTCACCTGTTTATTGATTTATTCAATCATTTACATCAATGTGGACTCATTGAATATATTTTATACTTTGGGTTATAATCCAGTAGGGTATTTTGTTGCTCAGATTGTTCTGGCTTTGGCCATTGGGAGCTCTTTCTGTTGACTGTGCTCTTAGACATATGCCATCAATGTGTGGTGGGGTTTGGGGAGCAATTCCTTGCTTTCTGGTACTAGAAGATGCCCCAGGCTCATCATGTCTATTTCCTGCCATTGTATCAGGCCTTTCTCCAAGGAGCCCTGGTTTCCTTTTATTGAAGAATGGCATTAGAAACTCAGATCTGAATGCTCGCCATGCTATTACGTGTCGTTTCTTTTAAGCCCTTTTAGCCAACAGAGCAAAAAAGTCTTTTTATACTAATCTGTATGTATACACACAAATTTACAAACATTTCTGTTTCTAACCATCTATCTATATTAAGGTAAACATGAATTCATACTAGTGTCTCCCTAAACTCTAGTCCGTTACTGCGTGGATCATTCTAGCTTCCTCCCCTTGCTTATCTGTGCACTCCCACCAGTCAGAAACCTCCATTATTTACCATTCACATGCTTAATACAAGCATTATTTCTTTTTTTAACTTTTTAAATGTTTATTTAGTTTTGAGAGAGAGAGAGAGGGAGAAACAATCCGAAGCAGGCTTCAGGCTCTGAGCTGTCAGCACAGAGCCCAGTACAGGGCTCGATCCCATGAACCATGACCTGAGCTGAAGTCGGATGCTTACCCGACTGAGCCACCGAGGCGCCCCATACAAGCTTTATTTTTAATGATAAAAGTTATAAAGCATCTCCTTTGTAATCTGAGAAGGCATAAGGATGCCATTATTGCTGCTTTTATTTGGTGTTGTAATGAAGTTCCTAGCCAGCATAATAAAACAAAAAGAAAATAGAGGATTAAGAATTGGGAAAAGAAGAAACAAAACTGTTGTTTACATACGGTATAGTTTACATAATGTATAGTGAAAAGCTCCAAAGAATCTATAGACAAATTATTAGAAATGACAGTTTCGCAACATGGCCAACTAAAAGATGGCATGTCTGTATGCAGTATCGTGCAGTTAGAAAATACAAAAGTAGATAACTCACTATAAAAGCATATAATTAAATATTAAAGATAATTAAATGTGAAGCATCAGAAAACATGAAATACCTGAGAATAAATCTTAAGATTTGTACGACCCAGTGTGGAAGATTAGTGAGTACTGGCACATAAAAGGAAGTATAAAATAAAAGGAGAGAATGTGTCCTTGATCTCCAAGTTGATCTATAGATTCAAATGCAATTCCAGTTAAAATCTCATCAGAGTTTTTATTAGAATTCATTCAGCTGATCGTAAAATTTATGTCAAGAGTAAGGCCTAAACAAACATTCCTGAAGTAAGTTGAGGTGACTTGTTCTAATAGATGTCAAGGTTTAATAAAAACTAAAAGGAAGTTACAGTGTGTTGCTGGTGCAGAGATAGAAAAATAGACCATTGGGACAATGCAGAATTCATGACCAAGGTTGCATAGGAGATCCCAGATGAAAGAAGGGATTAAGTAAAAGGACAATTCATTATCAATGTGGAAAATATTACATTCCCTATTTCAAATAATGTATGAAAATTAAGTCCAGATGGATAAGGTATTTAGATGTGAAAGGAAAAACTAAATCTTTCTAATATAGGGGGAAATCTTTATCCTTAGAGTTCAGGAACGATTTCTTAAGACACAAAAAGTGCCAACCACAAAAGAAAACATTGATTCATTCAAATTCATCAAATGTCTTATGAAAAGACATTACATATGAGAAAATATTTGCAACATAAAATCAACTAAAAATTATGATGTATAATATATTCCTGTAATGAGTAAGAAAAAGACAACCTGACAAGATAATATGAACGGGAACTTTTCGAGGGAAACCCAAATAGGAAATAAGCAAATGAAGATATGTTCACCTTTATGACTAACTTGGAGAATTAAGAATAAAATCACAATAAGATACCATTTTACACTAAGTAGTTTGGCAAAACATTAGAGAAGCAAATTGATAGGAACTCTTACATGCCATTGTGGGGGTGGAAATTGGTACAGTGACTTTGAGAACAAGTGGACATTTTCTTGTAAAGTGTATCAGGAACTTTGAGATGACTGCTTTTTTTTTTTTTTAATTATTTAAAGGATTCCTTTAAAAAGATACCTTTCTTATAAGTCAAGTACTTGAGGAAAGGTTGGAACATTATATTCCTGTAAATGTTATTAAATAGTTTATAGGGTAACTGAATTAACAAAAAATTTCTGCTAATGTATTACTGTTCTTAAGGACTGTTAGTAGTAAAGATATATACTACCATGAAAAAAATGTCTCCTTGCTTATTCGTGCTGATTCCTAGATCACCCAGCACGTGGCAGGTGTGTAACAGTGTTTTTTGCATAGCTAACTGCACATGTACTTCACAAATATTATTCTGGCCTTAGAATGTTATCCAAATTGGAATGTAAAAGCTGCTCACCTGGATCTCTCTGTTTATTTATTTAATTTTGAGAGGGAGAGAGAGAGCACAAGTCGGGGAGGGGCAGAGAGAGAGAGAGAGGGAGACAGAATCCCAAGCAGGCTCCACACTGTCAGCGCAGAGCCTGATGCAGGGCTTGAACACATGAACTGTGAGATCATGACCTGAGCCAAAATCAGGGGTTGGACAGTTAGCCACCCAGCCACCTAGGTGCCCCTGCTCATCTGTCTCTTGCTCAATGATTTTAACGTAGGAATTTGCAGTGCCAAGATGATAGGAATGCATATAGGTCTACTAAAATTTAGCCTTCCTTGTGTTATGGTTGAAATGAGGATGCAAGCTATCTAAACAGGTTGCTTTAATGCTTTTAAGTTTATGGAGTATAAAGATTTGGAATATTCTAAATTAGTTGTTTTGGGGGAAGTAAGCAAAGTAAAGATTTGTTCATAATATTTTATTGTACATAAATATTTCCTGCTCTTTTTGTAGCCAGTTGTTTGGGGAAGAAGATGCTGATCAAGAAGTATCCCCTGACAGAGCTGACCCTGAAGCTTCCTGTAAGTAGGTTGGGATATGTTCTCTTATTTAGTGAGCACTACCTTTCTTTTACTAGCTTAATATTGATAGCATAAGAGGAGAAAAAAATAATTGCTGTTATGTGTTAGATAGTATATTATGTGTTTAAGAGACAAAGGAAGAGAGAATCCCACACAGGCACCCCTCCTGTCAACGCAGAGCCCGACACAGGGATGGAACCCACCAACTGAGAGATCATGACCTGAGCTGAAATCAAGAGCCAGATGCTTAACTGAGTCACTTAGGCACCCTACATTATTTCATCTTTGAAAGACTGTTTTAAAAAGTGAGTAGTCCTGTTTTACTAGTGAAGACAAGGTGCAGAGAAATTTCATGAAGGTAGTAAATAGAGCTGAGAGTTGTTTTCAATCTGATTACAAGTCCATACTTTGAACTCTTCTATATGTGGCCTTCAAAAACTGAGGTAGGAAAAGATGCTGATGAGCATATTGTCCTTTCTCTTTGAACTTAGATTGCGTCATGTGCAAGTGACTTCCGTGAATGGCTCTTTTCCCCAAAGGTAGATGAGAGCTTAGTTTTACATTTACAGCTGAAAATGAAATAGTGTTTGTTTTGTAGGGGAACCAATGGAAGCTGAAGCCAGAGCCAGAGCATCTAATGAAGATGGTGACATTAAACGTATTTCCACTAAGGAATGGGCTAAATCAACAGGATATGATCCAGTTAAACTTTTTACCAAGGTTCGATTTGCTTTCTTTATAATTATGGATAGACTTATTCTGTTTTAAAATAGTACATGGAATTGAAATATGCTTTTTATGCCTAATGACGTCTTAATAAGTTGATTGGTGTCATCAGGATAATCAGGTTTTACATTTTTAGCTCTCATGTTAAATCAGTATCTCCATAGGAATTAAAATTGGTGGCTCACTTATACACTCTTGGTCGTCTTTCCTTCCCTCACTTTCACTGAACTTTTTAGTTTTCCTTATAACTGACCTTTGATTCCTGCTGTTTCTTGTCTTATATCCTTTTCCTGCTCAAATCTCTTGGGAATTTGATTGACATGTACTGAATTGCTCTTGAATTCCTAATCCTCGTTCTTGGCTGAATCCCTCTTCATTAGTATATATTATTTGCCTGCTGAATATTTCTGGAGAAATCTAGAAGACTTTTAATTGGCTGTATCTAATTGTAGCCCAGGTCTTCATGTCTGTGTTTTTAAAAGTCTTTTCACTTCTTTTGTCTTCACTCCCCAGCAAGTTTATCATAATAGATACTTGAAGATTTCTCAGCTTTTCTTAAAAGTGCCTGATATATGCTTAACATCCACACTGAGCAGATGACTTTAAGGATATATTAACAGGTTTGAAACCATTGGACAAAATGTACCTGTTAAGAGAATGTCCCACTTCATGCAAATTCTTTTCCCCTCTGCTGTTTGAGAGGTATCTCTTGGAGTAAAGGTTAATTCTTCTACTTTTCCTTCTCCTTGTGCCTTAGTCTTACAATTTTTCTTTATCACTGTATTTTGCTGATTTAATTACAGTATGTTTTGGTGTGGATCTGCTTTTGTTGATTTTGGTGGGAGTTCTGTGTCCTCCCTGGATCTGAATATGTTTCCTTTCCTAGATTAGGGAACTGTTGTTTCTTCAGATACATTTTTTGCTCCCTTTTTCTCTCCTCTTCTTCTGGGACTCGTAGGATAGAATGTTAATTATGTTTCATGGAGTCACCCAGTACCCTAAGTCTATTTTCATTTTGTATAGTTCTTTTTTCTAAAAGACAGTGACCTTTTAGGTCACTGATTTGTTCCTCTGCTTCTTCCATCCTGCTGTTCATTCCACCAAATGTGTTTCTCATTTTCTGTGAGATCACGATCTGAGCTGAAACCAAGAGTCGGACACTTGACTGAGTCACCCAGGTGCTCCTGGTTGACTCTTAAACCTATTTCATTTATTTCCTCATTACAGCCTTTTCTTTGGAAAATGGATTTTGATTTTGATTGTGCTTAAAATGTACTTTATTATAGATGGTGACAATATTTTCCAAACTGGTGTCTGTATACCTATTTCCCTTCCAGTTTGAGCAACAGTTGAATGCCAACATAATCTGAAGTATATCTCCAGTCTGTTTAGTAGGTAACTAAGCATCTGCTGTGTGCCAGTCACCACTCTGACAGAAGATATAGTGGTGAACAAGAGAGAAAATAGGGCGCCAACTCTTTCTAGGTAATTCATAGTTCAAAGGGAAAGTTAAACATATAGCAAGTAATATATTCAGAATGTTGTGATAGTAAGTTCAGATGGATTGGAACCCTTTGATACTAAGTAGACTTAACGTACGTATTATTTAACGTTGTTAGACCTAGTATGCAGGTTCAAAAGAGGCTTTCCAGAGGAAGTGATATTTCAACCCAAGACTTTAAAGAATGGGGCGGGGGGATAAGAATGCTACGTATACAAAGAAAGCCTCAGGTTGAAAAACTGAAACAGTGCCCATTAAAGGGGAAAGTGGGAAGAGGGCTGGAAACATAGGCTGAGGCTAGATCAGGCAGGACTTCCTAGGTCATGACAAGGATGTTATACCAAGGCAATGGGAATCCATTAAAAGGTAGTCTATAGGATTACTATGAGAATACAGTGGGTATGCTGTGCCCTCTAGGTCCTGATAATTCCTATTGTAATCTATATGGGAAGGTGCCTTCTGGGATTGTGCAGTGCTAGATCTGAAGTACAGCCCATCTGTATTCCCAGTGTAGCGTGGAGGAAAAGTAGATTGAATAGGACTTAGGATGTTTAAGGTGAGGAACAGTGAAGAATCAGGAATGATAACTGGGTTCCTACCGAACAGGGTGCCATTCTCTGAGATAGGTAAGGTGGGAAGCAGGTGTGTTGTGTAGGGGTTAGAGGAAAGGAGAAGGTGATAGAATCAATTTTGAGATTCCTGTGGAATATTAGAGAAAGGACAGGTGATTCTAAAGGCAAGCAGAGAGGTTTAGACTGGGATTCATAGGCCTATAGAAAGAGAAAAGAGCATGAAGATGGTTTAGTACAGAACTCTGAGGGCTTCCCAGTATTTAATAATTGGATAAAGGGCATGGATAGAGCTTGTTCCTGGAAAACCACACTAATTCTCCATTGCCTGGGAGGCTTTCCAGCCAAGTGCTTAAGGTCCTCTACAAAATGTGTCTAACCACATTTGTTACCCAAATAATAATGTGCTTCTCATTTCCTTATGTGTGCACCCATTTCAGATGTTACCATCTCCTTGAACTCTTTATTGATTGTTCTAGAACAAAGTTCCTGCTAGTACTCAAAGCTATGTGATTTTTGCTCTAAATTGTATTCTATTTGTATATTTGGCTGCTTTTCTAAAGGTTTAAGGATGTTTAATAAATATTGATAGAATTGAACATATTTTGATAGAACTAGTTCTGAATATTTTTATTAAGCCAATTTTAAATTAATAGCTGACACAATAAGTGTATTGACTAAATCAGCTGACAATAGGAAATGCAACTGAGGAAAAAGTAAAAATACTAAAATCATCTGAAATTCTACAGGATAGTGCCATTCATGTTGATATCTCTCAGTAATGTTTATTACGTTTTTTTTGAAAAAGTAATTGTTTTGTTTTTGAGCTTCCGGGGCGGGTTGAAATAGTAATTGTTTTATTTTTTAACTTTGAGGGTGGGAGCAGACCACATTTCCAAGATGTTACATATAGGTGGTTAAGAGCTGGTTTTGAGTACTTTACTTTTAAAATGTTTATGCTTTATTGCTGTATACCCATGAACTTGGAGGTATTACTAACTGGTATCTCTAGGCTCAATGATTTTATTCAATTCTTGTGGAGCTGGTGCATGTTTATTTAGCTCCTTGATTGGTGTGGTTTTGCTTCTGATTGATCTTTGGGGCTTTAGGTGTGCCTAGGGGAGGTGACAGGTGCAGTGAGCAGTGTTCAGAATTCCCTTTCTCTGTTTTCCTCAGAATTTCTGCTTTCACTATTTCAAAAGCGAGGTTCTGTGTAAAAATTTCTTTCTATACAAGGTTTAAGTTTTGTGGGTTTTTTTATCTTTTGGAAATTGTTGATCTGTTAGTATAGAGCATGACCTTAAATCAGAATATTCTATGGTGTAATACTTGTTTTTTTTGTTTTTTTTTTAATTTTTTTTTTCAACGTTTATTTATTTTTGGGACAGAGAGAGACAGAGCATGAACGGGGGAGGGGCAGAGAGAGAGGGAGACAAAGAATCAGAAACAGGCTCCAGGCTCCGAGCCGTCAGCCCAGAGCCTGACGCGGGGCTCGAACTCACGGACCGCGAGATCGTGACCTGGCTGAAGTTGGACGCTTAACCGACTGCGCCACCCAGGCGCCCCTATGGTGTAATATTTGTAATCTACGATGATATTGCTATATTTTATCAGCATAGGGGCTGTAGGATTTATGAGATTTTATTTTATTTTGTTTTATTTTTAAGCTTTTTAAAGATGATATCCGGTATCTGTTGACAATGGACAAACTGTGGCGGAAAAGGAAACCTCCAGTTCCGTTGGACTGGGCTGAAGTACAAAGTCAAGGTAAAGAGTTTTATGAGGCGCCTATCTGGCTCAGTCGGAAGAGCATGTGGCTCTTGACCTCTCAGGACTGTGAGTGTAAGCCCCATGTTAGGTGGAGAGATTACTTAAATAAACTTAAAAAAGAAATACATTTTAGTCTCTGGGATACCGAAATTGGTAATTCTCTTACCTGAAATCTTTAAATACCTTGAATTTCATTGTAAGAAATTCTAACAGTTTAGAAACATATGATGAAGGGAGATCACTGGAAATCTTATCACCTAGGGAAATAGCCATTATTAACATTTAGGGAATGTCTTTGTAGTTCAGCCCTGTGCACAGAAACAAAGAGGACTTTTGTACATACTTTACGTAAGTTGAATCATACTATTCATATATTCGTACTTGCTCTTTCCAGTCAGTATTATTTAACTAGTGCCCCTTGGTTAACCTTTGTTTTGTATTTTCCCCGAAATAAAGTGTTGTGCTAAGTATACATGCGCATACATCTTTGTACCTTTGTGTATCTCTTAAAGATTTAGTGTATTTGTAATTTACAAAAAAAAATTTTTTAATGTTTATTTATTTTTGAGACAGAGAAACAGAGCATGAACAGGGGAGGGGCAGAGAGAGAGGGAGACACAGAATCTGAAGCAGACTCCGGGCTCTGAGCTGTCAGCACAGAGCCCGACGCAGGGCTCGAACTTACAGACTGTGAGATCATGACCTGAGCTGAAGTCGAAAGCTTAACCGATTGAGCCACCCAGGCACCCCTAATGCATTTGTAATTTTAAATGTGAAAAAAAACTATTGTAGTAGTGGCTACTTCCTTATTCTACCGCCTCTTCCACACATTGTATCTTGTCTTACCTGAATTATATTATACAGCAGTGGTCAGCACACAAACTTAGAGAGTCCCAGGAGATTTGGCTTGTCAGTTTTAAGCAGTTCTCCACAGTAACGAATATTTGACTTTACAGACTAAATTCAGATATGGTTCTGATAGCTTCCACTTACTGAGTGCTGTGTGCTAGACATATCTTTGAATTCCCCAATAACCCAGTGAAGTTCTGAGACCATCTTGCAGCTTTCCCATTTCGGTATTAGCACTTTGTTTTTTGTACAAATCTTTGTAGCATCCTGATAATTATTTTAATGGAATTTGTTTCATATTGATTTTCTCATTGGTCAGGCATTAATTAAATTGTTAAATAAAACAAACACATGATGTTTAATAGTGAAATTTCTAATATTTTTTTCCCTTAGGAGAAGAAACCAATGCATCAGATCAACAAAATGAACCCCAGTTAGGTCTGAAAGACCAGCAGGTTCTAGATGTAAAGAGCTATGCACGTCTGTTTTCAAAGAGCATTGAGACTTTGAGAGTTAATTTAGCAGAAAAGGGGGATGGAGCTGAGCTCATATGGGACAAGGTTAGTTTTGAAAATACGTGGCAATTCTGTATCACGTGCTTATTTTAGTTCTTGAACTGTAACCAGAAACTAGTAAATTTTTGGATATCATTTATCCTACCAGATTTTGAGAACATAATACTGATATTGATTGGATGTTTTCATCTCTAATTACTACACTGAACTGTGAATTTTCTGTACGTGAATTCAAGTAATATCATAAAACTTGATTCTGATAATGGGTTTGTGGTTTATAATTATGTTGACTGGAGAAATAATGTGAATTGACTGGAGTAAAATGTTTCACCGGCTTAAAAAAATTTCTTTTGTAAATGCAGATATGTTAATAGAAGTCATAAAATTCTTTTGGAGACAATAGCTCATGGGCCTAATTTAACCTTGAAAGTAATAAAATAGCCTTTCTGTTGAAATAGTTAAAGGTCTGAGACCTCTAAATACAGATTCTTACAAGTTAAAATAATATTTAATAGCAGTTTGTGGTTAGATGTCATATTTTGAAATTTGATGAATTTATTTTAATTGTTAATCAGTGTTTTCTATGTCTACCAGTGATTTATCTGTGATAATGGTAATACGTTTCTATGATGGTAGAGATTTGCCCTGAGTTGTAAAGTAAGGGGAAAAGTTTGGTCAGTTTTACTAAGCTGATAATTCTGTGCAAAGTTTGAAACTTTGGTTGAATTAGACATGTAAACTGAAGCTAGTAAGTTTATGTTTTTGGGATTCTTGAAAACATTCTTTTGGGTTTATGTCATATAAAGATTAACTACTAAATATATATTTGCATTATTACTGTTAGAGTGATTTGGGTAGTTTTCATCTGTACACAGGGCTAGATAATGAAACCATGAAACTGGTAGTTGTTACCCTCTGATTAAAATCTACATCTAATGGGTATGATGAACCAATTGCCTAGGGAAGTAGCTGTACACTGTGTTGGGTACTGTTAAATATTCACACTTAATCTTCATCACAACCTTCTGAAATATTTCTATAATATTCCCTAATAGTTAAGGAATTTCATTTGCCTGAGGTTAGCCAGCCAGCCAGTGAGTATGTAGAGAACTCACATCCTCTCAGTGCTTTGTCTCAGTGCTTTCTCTTCTCCACTTTAGTGCTTTTGAATTATAGGCTAGGGTAGTATGTTCTCAGTGAAGCAGAAAACTTTGCTGAAATCTTAAGAGACCAAGATACAATCTCAGAAAGAAGATAAACTGTCAAAGGGAAACTTTTGTTGTATTGCCATATGTGAAAAGAAACAGCAAATACAGGAGACTGGTATTTTATGAAGGGAATTTGGAGAGGGAAAACCAAAAGGTGTAGTCCAGATGTTTGAGTTTTTAGTGAAATTGTTTTCTATAAAAAACCTTTATCTCTTTGCCTGGAGTCTGTATTGTCAGACAACTTCCATTACTGACTGATGCACCTGGGAAAGTGTTGCCATCGTCAGTGAGTGGAATTGGTGTTCTGCTCTATACACTTAGTCTCCACTTCACTCGTTTAAGTGGGACTGAGTTCCTAGAGGCCTGGTGGGTCTTGGCATTTTCTTTTCTTTTCTTTTCTTTTCTTTTCTTTTCTTTTCTTTTCTTTTCTTTTCTTTTCTTTTCTTTTCTTTTCTTTCTTTCTTTCTTTCACATTTATTTATTTTTGAGAGAGAGAGAGAGAGAGAGAGAGCATGGGTGGAGGAGGGGCAGAGAGACAGGGAGACTCAGAATCCAAAGCAGGCTCCAGGCTCTGAGCTGTCAGCACAGAGCCCCATGCAGGGCTCGAACTCACGAACTGTGAGGTAATGACCTGAGCTGAAGTTGGACGCTTAACCGACTGAGCCACCCAGGCGCCCTTTGGCATTCTTTTCTTTTTAAATGTTTATTTTATTGAGAGAGAAAGAGAGCCAGTGAGCAGTCGTAGGGACAAAGAATCCCAAGCAGGCTCTGCACTAATTGTGAGCCTACTATTGATGATCCCGTGAACTGGGAGATCATGACCTGAGCCAAAATCAAGACTTGGACTCTTAGCCCAGTGAGCTACCCAGGCTTCCCTTGGCAGTCTTGTCAGGCTACATCCCTGGATCCAAGGAGTTGATAATGAGACCCTGCCCCCAATTCATCCATTCTCCATGCTACTATAAGGCTTTATGGGACTGGCCTCTCCTGTAAGGCCATCTCTTGTTCTAGTTGATGATGGTTGTTACACACATGTGAGAGTACTATTTTGAAGGTGATACTAACTAAATTAGTAAATCTGTGGGAAGGCTTGTTAAATTGTTTCAATTATTGGCAGGATGATCCATCTGCAATGGATTTTGTCACCTCTGCTGCAAACCTCAGGATGCATATTTTCAGTATGAATATGAAGAGCAGATTTGATATAAAATGTAAGTTGTTTTGTAGTTCAATTGTATCACTTAAAATTCTAAGTTATTCTTTTCTAACAGTTAAACATACTCATCTTTGTTTTTCAGCAATGGCAGGGAACATTATTCCTGCTATCGCTACTACTAATGCAGTGATTGCTGGGTTAATAGTGTTGGAAGGATTGAAGATTTTATCAGGAAAAATAGACCAGTGTAGAACAGTGAGTATTTCTTTTTCTTTCTTCCTTCCTTGCTTCCTTCCTTTCCTTCCTTTCTTTCTTTGTATCTTTCACAAGTAATCTCTGCATCCAATGTGGGGCTTGACCTCCCAACTCCGAGATCCAAAGTCTCATGCTCTACCAACTTAGCCAGCCAGGCACCCCTGTCCACCCTCTTTTTTTTTTTTTTTTTTTTTTAATATTTATTTATTTTTGAAACAGAGACAGCATGAACAGGGGAGGAGCAGAGAGAGAGGGGGACACACAGAATCTGAAGCAGGCTCCAGGCTCTGAGCTGTCAGCACAGAGCCCGAGTGTGCTTGTAACTCGCAGGACCATGTCGTGACCTGAGCCAAAGTCGGACGCTTAACCGACTGAGCCACCCAGGCGCCCCAAGTCCACCCTCTTTTTAATAGTAGTCTATATTTTAGGGGAAAAAAGTAACTCTAAAAAGCACATTAAACAGAGCACCTAAAAAATTAAAACAATAAAATTGATTAAAGCAGTAGAAAAAACACTGTTCCAGTAGTAACCTTATGAGCTCATTTTTAAGCTTCCTGGAAGTTACAGTAAAAAGGAAAATATAATTGCTTCTCTTATTTTATAAGCTAGTTTGCTTCTAACAGTTTCCAGAGTTTTACTGAATTCTTAGACTCATTGTATGGTTCCTTATAAAGTTTTTTCAATTTTAAGAGTTCTGTATGGTTTTTCAATTTTGTATTGTCATTTTCTAGTTCTCTCCTTCATTCATGTTTTTGTTTTCTTCATGTTTTTCAATCTCCTTTTCTGTTTTAAACCTATTTTATGTTCTTTGATAATGTCTAAAGTTTTTATGGATGTATGTACTGTCCTTTCTGCTAGATATCATAGTATTTTTTTGGCCTGTGTGGTATATGATTTGTGGGGTTTTTTTTTGTTTTTTTTTTAATCAACTTAGTGTTAGTTAAAACTGTCTGACAATTCTTAAGGACTTATTGAAGGTGTACTTCAAAGAGGATTTGTGTTTGTTTATATCTGGGTGCCTGGCATCCTACCAATCCAGTACTACTTTTAAATTTTCGGCTTTAGTTTTTCAGCTCCTCTAATCCAAGTTGCAAGTCTGCATGAGCCCTGTCCTACTGTAATGAAACATGAAGGAGATATTTCCCTGCTCCCCTAAGCACCGAGGTCACAATCCTCTGTCTTGCTGTTTTTGTGGGAAAGATATTTTCCTCCTCTTCTTCACTTGCCTCCTCTTCCAGGTCCTTGCTTTATGGGAGTTTCTGTTAGAGAGTTCTACATGCACGAGGGATGGACTAGATTTATCTTTTAATTTTTTCTTTTTTTTAAAGTTTATTTATTTTTGCAGAGAGAGACACAAAGCATGAGTGGGGGAGGGGCAGGGAGAGAGGGAGACACAGAATCTGAAACAGGCTCTAGGCTCTGAGCTGTCAGCACAGAACCCGACGCGGGGCTCAAACTCAAGGACAGCAAGATCATGACCTGAGCCAAAGTCGGACACTCAACCGACTGAGCTACCCAGGCGCTCCTAGATTTATCTTTTAAAACCAAAGCCACTTGGACATTCTCTTTGGATTCCTGCTTTCACTTTGAGTTTGCCTGAAGATGATTTGCATTCTTAACAGCTTAGCAATTTAAAAAACTTCCTGAAAATACTTCTAGCGCATATTTTTGCTCATTTATGTTCTCCTTTTTACTATAATGTTGACATGAAAAGACCAATTTATTTTTAGGAATTTTGAAATACATATATGCATATATATTTTTTAATGTTTATTTTGGGGGAGAGAGAGTGCAAGCAGGGGACGGGCAGAAAGAGAGGGAAAGAGAGAATCTCAGACTCCGTGCTGTTCGTGTGGAGCCAGATGTGGGGCTCGAACTCACAGACTGTGAGATCATGAACTTGGCCGAAATCAAGTTGGATGTCCCAGTTTTTAGGAATTTCTGAAAAACTACCTACTCTGCAGTGGTACTCATACTTTTCAGTGCTATTATTGATTTACTCTTAAAATATTTTTTATTGTTTCCATGTAGTTTTGGGGTGAATGGGTGTAGAATCATTGCCAGTCTGCTACCTTGATTTGGTTTAATTCTTTTTCTTAACTGTCAAAATTTTAATTTCTAAGAACTAGATTTTTTTTTTTTTTTTACATTTTATTTATTTTTGAGAGACCGAGCATAAGTTGGGGAGGGGCAGAGAGAGAGAGGGAGACACAGAGTCTGAAGCAGGCTCCAGGCTTCCAGCTGTCAGCCTAGAGAGTCGACGATAAACCTGAACTGTGAGATCATGACCTGAGCCAGAGCCAGATGCATAACCGACTGAGCCACCCAGGCGCCCCTAAGAACTTCATTTTTTATTTCTACCTTCTAGCAGCCTGAGTTTGTCCTGTGGCTACAGTATGCATCCCTTTGAGCTCACAAACAATATCAATTGTTGAATTTATTTAAAATATCTACTCGTTCGTATAACATCCTTCTCATTTCTTTTTACTCAGCTTTTTCCCTCTTGGGTTAATGATGTTTATGTCTGGATTTTTTGGCTCACATTTATAAGTGAATTTTAAGGTGAATTAATAGTATTAGCCTGGGCATCAACAGGGTTAGCAGTTGCTTCCGTTACTGTCGATTTCCCTTCATACAGTTATCTTCCTAGTGAAGCTTAGATCAAACAAATCTGTTTTCCCCATTGAACCCTGCCTCTGACCTTGCCAATACAATGACTAACTTCTAGCAATACTGTTGCTACAGGAGCCCTCCTCCCAGCACTTGATTGCCTCTCACAGGATTTGGTTTTTCTTCTTTTTTTTAAAAAGTAATCTCTACACCCATCATGGGGCTTGAACTCACAACCCCAAGATCAAGAGTCACATGCTTTTTTTTTTTTTTTTTTTTTTTTTTTTTTTTTTTTTTTTGTTTTAACATTTATTATTGAGAGATAAGAGGGCATGAGCATGGGAGGGGCAGAGAGAGGGGGAGACACAGAATCCGAAGCAGGCTCCAGGCTCTGAGCTGTCAGCACAGCCCAACATGGGCTCAAACCATGAGATCATGACCTGAGCCAAAGTTGGACACTTAACTGACTGAGCCACCCAGGCACCCCATGAGTCGCATATTCTTCCAACTGAGCCAGCTGGGCACCCCAGGATTTACTTTAAGCTTGGGGAATCTGAGGTTCCACTTTAAAATTCGTCTTAGCAGGTGGCCACACTTAACATGGTCATCACAAAGTGAGAAATTTGTGTATTTACTTCTAGTGTTCTTTTGACCTTTGTTTGTATTGATCTTGCTAGTGTTTGCTGAACTTTGTAGTAAAGTAATAATGACGTTAAGTTTGGGACCTTTTTTTGTTTTTTTAAGATAGAGAAAGAGAGCGTGCTTGTGTGCATGAGCAGGGGAAGGGGAGAGAGCATCTCAAGTAGGCTCCACACTGTCAGCACAGAGCCCAAGCAGAACTGAATTCCAGGAACCAGGAGATCATGAGCTGAGGTCAAGAGTCAGATGTTTAACCAACTGAGACACCTAGGCGTCCCTTAGTTGGGACCTTTTTAAATTTCAGTGCAAGTTTTTTATCCATTGGAATTTTTAAATTTTTCATTGGCTTTTATTTTTTGTTTGTATGCTTGGGAAATCGTAAATAGGTGCTAATATTGCCTGAAGTACATCACTTTTTCTCTTCTTTATATAAACGTTAATGTTGTAGTCGTCAAAGACAACTTGAAAAGAAAAACAGCACATTGGTTCCATGCATCTGTGAAAGTGTTACCATTATTCGGAGAAATTAGCATATTGGTATTTATTATTGGGAGGTTGGCTTAAAATTGATAAGAATAACCACTAGGAAGATACCCCAAAATTGATTTAATGATATCAGAGATGAATACAGCTAGGCCCTTAATTCGCTGTTAGTTTGCAGAATAGTTTATAGAGTCTTCAAGATTTCTTTTCAGTAAACACAGCCTTTCACATGATCACTAACTGTTAAAGAAAGTTGAAAGAAAATCAGTCTCTTAAAAAGGCCATGATTTTCTTTATGTTTTCTGCCATCTAGAAGGGAAGATTTAAGTCATTTTTAAAGTTTATTTGAGAGAGAGCATGCGGAGCGGGTGGGGGGGGAGGGGGAGGGAGAGAGAGAAAGAGGGAGAATGAGAATGAATGAATCAGTCCCAAGCAGACTCTCCTGTCAGTGCAGAGCTCAATGCGGAGCTCGAACTCAGAAACCATGAGATCGTGACCTGAGCCGAGATCAAGAGTCAGATGCTTAAGGGAGCCACCCAAGTGCCCCTATTTAAGTCATTTTTTATTGACCGTGCAGTAAAGAAGACCATAGGCTTCAAATTATATGGTATATAAAAGCATAAGATTTCTGGTTTCTGCCTGTATTTTTTCTCCAAAGATTTTTTTGAACAAACAACCAAACCCAAGAAAGAAGCTTCTTGTGCCTTGTGCACTGGATCCTCCTAACCCTAACTGTTATGTATGTGCCAGCAAGCCAGAGGTGACTGTTCGGCTGAATGTACACAAAGTGACTGTTCTCACATTACAGGATAAGGTAAGTGTACAGGCTAGTAATCTTCCACAAGGTTCGTTTTCCTTTCCTAAAAAAAAAGAAAACGTAGGCTCCCTTTTGCGGTATAGTTTAACCTGATAACAAACTAAACCACATAATTACTGCGAAAGGCTCTGACTGCTAAAATGCATTGCTCTGATATTCTAGGTTGCTTTACTGTCTGGGTTCCTACTACGTTTTTGGTCTGTGGTTCCAGAATATGTGCCTCACATCCCAGAAAGGAATAGATGAATTTGGATGGAATATGCACCACAGGTTGTACAGAGGTGACACAGTTTCTTGGCAAGCAAGAGACACTGTTAGCAGATAGTGTGTGAATTGTGTTTTCTGACAGACAGTATCCTTAAATGGTCTAGTAAGGGTCCTGATTTTGGTGTGTTAAGTTGGCGTCTTAGGAAATGCAGCATTTGTGCATGTGGATATACCAGTGGCGCTGTGGAGTGAGGGAAATGGAAGTTTAGTGTGTGGTCTGGTCCTTAGGTTCTTCCTAAATTGGTTAGGTTAGTTTCTCTGTGTTTGGGAAGATTTCCAAAATGGCCTGAATGGATGCTACTTCCTACTTTGGGGATCACTTCAGATTGCTTTCTGATAACGTTCATCATCATGTTTCATATTTACCCAACATAGGGGGCATAGACCTTTGCGGCCCAGGCTGCTTGAGAGGGAATAGCCTTTCTCCCAGAATTGATTACATAGGGCAGATTGATTTGAGCTTACGTTTTGATGGAGAAGCAGCAGGATTTGGTATACTGGCCAGCAGAGGCTGATTGCCCCACCCGGTTCCTTAGGAAATAGTTGTAGTTGGTATGTACTCATTCTTGAGCTTAAAGGCAAGTCTACTATTTTTAGGGTAATATGACCTTTAGAGAATTCCCTTGTTATTTTTTAAAAATGTTTATTTATTTCTTTTGAGAGAGCATGAGCGAGTTGGGGAGGGAGAGAGAGAATTCCAAGCAGACTCCACGCTGTCAGTGAACAGTGAGATCATGACCTGAGCTGAAATCAGGAGTTGGACATTAACTGAGCCACCCAGGTGCCCTTCCCCTGTCATTTCTAAAAGCAGCTAGTATTTCACAGATTGTTATCACTCTTTATCCATCTTGAAATTTATTTTTTTTTTAATTTTTTTTGTGTTTATTTATTTTTGAGAGAGAGAGAGAGAGAGAGACAGCATGAGTGGCGGAGGGGCAGAGAGAGAGGGAGACACAGAATCCAAAGCAGGCTCCAGACTCTGAGCTGTCAGCACAGAGCCCCACGCAGGGCTCAAACCCACAAACTGCGAGGTCATGACCTGAGCTGAAGTTGGACGATTAACCGACTGAGCCACCCAGGTGCCCCTATCCATCTTGAAATTTAAAGAGAGATGGCACTTGGGAAGAGGAAGACTAATCCAAGAATCTGTCTTATAAATTTTCCATCTATAGAACATCTTCCACTACAGGATTGGCTGAGAGACTAAGATGAAATGTGTTAAATGTCTAGCTCAGTATCTAATCTGTAGGGAATACCAAGAGCCAGTCGGGAGTTTGCAATCTCCCATTTGGAGGAGGTTTTATCTGAATGTTCTCAGTGGTCAAACATGGGAGTACAAGGTGGACAGCATGGGCATGGAGTAATTGGGTGAATTTCCAGTGCTTTCTGCATGTCCTGGGTGTCCTAAAGAACAACTTGCCCCCTTTCCATTTCTGATGGAACGGGAAAGTATGGGGGGAAAATGTCTGTTTTTTCTTTTTCTTTTTCTTTTTGTATGGTCTTTAACTACATATATTAATATGTTAAATTTTTTTGTCTTCTAGATCGTGAAAGAAAAATTTGCTATGGTAGCACCAGATGTCCAAATTGAAGATGGGAAAGGAACAATCCTAATATCTTCAGAAGAGGGAGAGACAGAAGGTATTACACGTTGCATTTATTCACTCTCCTCATTTGGGTAGAAACTATATACATGAAGAAGTAACATGAGTCTGTTCATTGTGCATATTGCTCGGTATCACAGCTGAAAGGGGCAATGTTTGGTCACGAAAGTGCACTCCCTAGGTGGCACTGTCTTGCTGGGATCACCACAGTTCCAGGTGTGGGGACTTCCATATTGTCAGGGTGTCTCAGGGACTATTTCTCAAGAACCCAGTGCACAGTTATGTTTACAGTGACCATAATGCTCTAGTCCACTAACAAGGACTATCCTTGCCTGGATCCTTGAAGCTAAATTAGTAATGGGAACATTGCTCTGGCCGTTAGGGTAATTTAAGGCTATTAAGGGGTTTTGTTTGTTTTGAGAGAGAGTGCGCATGGGGATGGGATGGGAGGTACATAGGGAGAGGGCAAGAGAGAATCTTGAGCAGGCTCCACACCCAGCTCAGAGCCCACACAGGGCTCGATCACAACCATGAGATCGTGACCTGAGTGGAAATCAGGAGTCAGACACTTAACTGACGGAGCCACCTAGGCACCCCAAGGCTATTAGGTGTTTTTTCAAAGAGCAGAGAAGCCTTGATAGCCTGCCATAGAGCAGAAAGTAGTACTGAAAATCATTGCACACCTTTGGCTTTCCAGGCTTTCTAGGCTTTCCTTTTCAAAAGTTCAAGCAGGTTGTCATCCCTTTTGTTAATGCATTTGTTGTATAAAGTACAAAGCATTTGGTTCTGTTGAAGCTTTCTTAGAATTGGTTATGGTTGTGCTCCCTTCAGACTGTGCTAGTCAATCTTCGTGTACTTAGATGTTCCCACACCTCTTCAGTCACTTTGGCAGCTCATCTCTTTGCGCTGCCATTTTAGTTGATTTCTCCACATCCCCAATTTTGTCATGGTACCATTACTTTGGGCACTGTTTTCCCAAAATAAGATGTATTTATTCACACATTTGTTCATTGGTCATTTATTCAGGACACTATGTCAGATCCTGATAGGGTTATTCAAATGTCAAGCCTTTAAATTAAAACTTAGTGTCAGGATTCCTTTTGGCTGTAGTTTCTAGTCAAGAAATTGCTTGAGATACTAGGTCATGAGTAATTCAAGACCCTGTTTTGGCTAGGTAGTAGTCTGTTTTAAGAATCCAGTTGAATGTTTAAGCCCCATTTTAGCTAGCTGTCTTCATATGCACATAGAAAGTTTGTCCATGACGATACACTCTCCCTTGGTTCTGGCCAGCTCTTTCAAATGCTTGGGCTTTAAAAATGGAAACTGGTCAAGAATCTCAGTGGCTTAAAACTGGTCCTTCTCAGTAGCACATGTAGCAGCATACATGTGCTACTGAGTACTAAGGGTGGGATTTATTCAAATACATTTAGGGCCCTGTGTTACAGGTATAGTCCTGTGTTTATAATTCAAGAATGAATAAGGCAGTGGTCCCTGTCTTGAAGTACTTTAAAGCCTGGAAGGAGAGGAAAGATGGTCAACAAGTGGATTTACTACAATCTAAGAAATAACTGTAGGAAGAGAGCATACAAGGTCGGAAGCCTTGTGAAGGGGAAGGGTCACAGGAGAAAGGACTCCTGGGCCAGTTCTTAAAGAAGTAAAGGCCCCCTGGCAGAGAAGGGAATGTCTACATTTGGGCAGAATCAGCAGCTGCTATAAAACGCATGAGCTTGTGAAACAACGTAAAAGGCTTTCAGAACGTCCAGTTATTTGTTTCACTGGAAAGTAGGGTGCTGTGGGGTTGGTGGTGGTGGCACAGCTGGAGGGCTTCGTGTGGCATACATGTGACATGTATTTGTAGTCCTCCCCCAGTGACCTCCTCCCACCAGGATTTATAAGCAGGGAATGTATTGTATTTACCTTCTAGCATAGTCTGCAGAGGAGGAGTTAAGCATGTGAAAGAAGAAACAGGGGGCCAGTTAGGGAGAAAAAACTGAAGGTAGTGAGGGTTGTTTACTGAGGCATAAGCAGATGACAGAGTTGAGATTTGCAGTCAGAGTTTATGGGTCGGCCAGGTGAAGAAAAGTGTCATTGTTGGGCTTGTACAGGACTGTCGCCAGGACTCTGGCTTTGGAGATGATGTTAATTGACCAGGATAGATGCATAGTAGACTACTTTTCTTTCTAACATGTTGGATCTGAAGAGTTTGTAGTTAAGTAGGGAATATGTAAAAGGGCTTGAGGATGGAAGTCTGGGTAGGAGCTACCATTCTCTAAAGGCATTCCAGATAGATTAAAAAGTTAAAATAAGAAATCTGTAGGGGCGCCCTGCTGGCTCAGTCAGTGTTGCATATCTCGATCTTGGGGTCATGAGTTGGAGCTCCACGTTAGATATAGAATTTACTTTAAAAAAAAAAAAAAACTAAAAGAATTAGAAACTGTCAGTAGTGGGGCGCCTGGGTGGTTCAGTCAGTTGGGCACATGACTCTTGATTTCAGCTCAGGTCATGATCCCAGGGTTGTGGGATCAAGCTTTGCCTTGGGCTCTACACTGTGCATGAAGCCTGCTTAAGATTCTCTCCCTCTCCGTCTCTGTCTCTCAGGTGTCCAACTTTGGCTCAGGTCATGATCCTGTTTGCGAGTTGGAGCCCCACATTGGGTTCACTGCTGTCAGCACACAGCCCACTTGGGATCCTCTATCCCCCTTCCTCTGTGCCCCTCCCCTGCTTGAGCTCTCTCTCTCTTTCTCTCAAAAATAAAAACATTAAAAAAAAAAAAAGATTCTCTCTCTCTCTCCCTCTCCCTCTCTCTCTCTCCCCGCTCTTCTCTCCTTCTCTCCCCCACTTACTCTCCAAAAAAAGAAACCATCATTAGTTTCTGGGTTTCAAGGAGGGGATCCTTTCTAAGCATTTTCCTTACAAGCAACTAAATAATAACCAACAAAGAAAAAGATTATTAGATTATATAGAAAATTACATACATTTAACAATAACTAGAATTTAAAATACAGTTTACTTAGCATGTGCCAGGCACTGTATAGGTCAACAGGTTCTATATAGCGTGTCCCTCATGGAGCAAATATTCAATAAAGTGCACTCTGTTGTGAGGAGAGGGTATAAATTGGGAGCAAAGTGAGGAAGCAGTTTTGTAAATGATACTTGAGTGCTTGTATAGGTTAAGAGAGAGGAGCATCTGAACATTCAGGGGAGAAAGGATAATTAAGGCAGAAAGACCCAACAGTAGGTAGGAGGAGGTGGTGACCTAAAAAGTTGGGTTGGAGGAATTGTTTTTCATGGGAGTATTTTAATCCATGTATCAGGTTTATTGAGTGTTAGGGGGTGCTGTGCTAGGTACTTTGCTGCATGAAGCAGAAATGACATGTGGAAACTAAAACTATAGAGTGATTATTTTTGGGAGTCCCCACTGACTTGTCATTGAGAAATGTTGAAAATTTGTGTTGAAAAACGGAAAGATCCATTCAAATCAACAGTTTTCTCATGTTTCTGTAAAATTTGCTGAAAAGTGAAGTTGTTGTAGATAATCTCTTTGTAAGTAGAATATATGTTGAACAACTCTAAAAGTCGTCTTCGACTCCTTCAGGATTCCAGATTAATTTGGTTTGAATGGGAGAGTGTCAGAATTTCTCACCGTTTGGGGTTTTTTGCAACAGTTTTAATAGTTGAGCTTTCAGGGCTGAATTTCTAAGTGTCTAATATTGTAGTGGACTAGTTTGCTAGGGCCACCATTCCAAAATATGCAGACAGAGTGACTTAAGTGACAGAAATTTATTTTCTCATAATTCTGGAGGCTCCAGGTCGAAAGATCAAATTATCCACAGGTTTGCTTTCTCTTGAGGTCTCTCTCCTTGATTTCTGAGAAAAATGTTGGATTATGCCCAGCCTGACAGCCTCATTATATCTTCATCACCTTTTTAAAAAAAACCACTCTCTCACATTCTGAGGTGCCTAGGGTTAGGGCTTCAACATACGAATTTGAGGGGATGACAATTGAGCTTATAGAGGGGGGATTAACCTTTTTAAAGCTAATGTGACTGCTCTGTGGAAATATAACTTTAGTTTCTAAATTTCTTTCCAATTTCTTAGCTAACAATCATAAAAAGCTGTCAGAATTTGGAATTAGAAATGGGAGCCGGCTTCAAGCAGATGATTTCCTTCAGGACTATACTTTATTGATCAACATCCTTCATAGGTGGGAACTATTAATATTTTAAGTGTAAGAAATTATTTGAATATTTAAAGAGTGAAGAAAAAGATGTTTTCTTACCCGTAAGCCCTGCTGTTCACTTGAAACCACATGGTATATTTGCTTGAGTTGGCTACTCAGTTCCTTTGAGGCTTGACCTACAGAGGAATTTGGGGAATTCTGAAATAAAAGGAATAGGCAAAAAATGTTTAAGGGTAACTATCATCAGTGGTGTCTGATCAGAAAGACCTAGAAAAGGTAGAAATCCAAGCATTTGAATAGTTATAATCAGAGATGAGTTCATTTTGATAGTTGAACTAAAATAAAAATTTCAACCATTTTAAAGATTCATTAGAAGAAAGGAAGAAATATTTCCCTCATAAAACACAAATTTAACTTGTGATCTTAATAATGAGATAATGAAAAGAATTATAGATGTTTGAATCACTTTTTTTTTTTAATGTTCTGCCCATTTTATAAAAAAACTTCAAAGTGCTTGCATTACAGAGTATTTGCATGTATATAACACAGTTAAAATACAGATAGTCTTCCATTTTGGTATGTTTACCTGTCAAATAAAGTGCACTTTTGTGCATGCCCATTGACACACCTAAATTGCACACCAACTTAGGACTTTGGGCATTATCTTACAAACATGGAGGGTTGCTGTCTGCATCTGATTGTTTTGCCAGTATTGCCATCTCTTTACAAACATACAGTTTGTGTAGTTGTTTGGAGAATATCACATTTTATATACTTGGTTTATAAAAAGCATAAAATGACAGGGAAGACTGAATGTGAGTTATTAGTAAGTGAGTTATTAGTTTCACAAAGTTAGACAATTGAGTCAAAGAGAATTTTTGCTAGGGTGTGATCCCTAGTCTCAATTAGACACCGTTGGATGTTCGTGGTGTGCTCGTGTTCAAGTTCACAAGAAAAAACAATGAAAGTAGATCTACAGTAAAATGGAAATATCAGATGGTGTCTAAAGAGGAGGCATAATTAGGGTTTGTTTGTTTTTTTTATCATATTTTTTAGCTCCTTGGGAACAGAACCCTCCCCCCTTATAACATAACATGTAAGTCTTTTGTTTGACTTTCATGCATTAAACTTTCATACATGTTTTTGCAAATGTGTTACAAAATCAGGGTACTGCCAGTAAAGATGGTGGGGAGACCCAGAGTCCATGTAACCCTGTTCCTTAAACGCCAAATTACTTTGGTCAAGATCAGGGTTGAGTGTATAGACTCTTCACCTGGTAGCTAAAGAAATAATGCCTTAAGAGCAACATTGGGCCACAAAGTTTTAGACTCCGTTTTCTGCTCTAGAAGTGAAAGTTATGTAACATTTTTAAAAAACCTTTTCCCTGATTTGAAGGGGCAATGGTATTGAACACTTGAAGTGGAGTTTTGAATTAACAACAGAAATTTGTTGTGTGCAGTGTTATTTTTAATTTTAGCTCTTTGAAAATCAGCATCTGTATATTTGGTGTGTATATAGTAAATGCACTTGGAGCTTTGAGGAACAGTGTCTCTGGTGTGCCTTTGTCATGGGGTCCAGTTTTATAGTGTCTGATTATTTTACAGTGAGGACCTAGGGAAGGATGTTGAATTTGAAGTTGTTGGTGATGCCCCAGAAAAAGTGGGGCCCAAACAGGCTGAAGATGCTGCCAAAAGCATAACCAATGGCAGTGACGATGGAGCTCAGCCTTCCACGTCCACTGGTGAGTCATGGCCCTAGCCAGCCAGCATTTTGTTAATTAATCCACCAAGCAAGACATTATATAGAAACAAACTATGAGTATTTTACGAATTTTACCGTAAAATAGAAATCTGTAGGATTGTTAAAGGTGTAGATTGGTTTGGCATTGGTTGTTTTAATTCTTATGGAAAATAGGAACTATTATTTTTTGTTAGTGGGCTTTTATCAACGTTTTTTTTTATTTATTTTTGGGACAGAGAGAGACAGAGCATGAACGGGGGAGGGGCAGAGAGAGAGGGAGACACAGAATCGGAAACAGGCTCCAGGCTCTGAGCCATCAGCCCAGAGCCCGACGCGGGGCTCGAACTCACGGACCGCGAGATCGTGACCTGGCTGAAGTCGGACGCTTAACCGACTGCGCCACCCAGGCGCCCCAGTGGGCTTTTAAAACTAGAAGTGTCACTGAGTTTACTAGTGTGTGGAGACAGTTCATTCTTGGTAGTAGTTTTGGATTTTGTATGCTTGTTTCCCCCTAAATAGGGGAAGCAAATCAATGCATCTCTGTTGAGTGAACAGATAGAATTTTAGAATTTCACAGTTTCCTGAGAACCGGTATGACTTTGGTAAAGTGCATCAGGAACTCTGTTACCCTGAGTTTTCAGTGCTAGTGCTTGGTGATTTACTGTGCTCGGATTTGGATGTTTACTACCTGCTCACATCACGCAACCCTCCTCTCTTCATTTTTCAGTCAGGAAACTAAAGTTAACTTTTTTTTAACCCCAAGTTTTTGGTGTTCTTTGGAATATGGTTGTTCTTGGTTCTCCTGTCCTCTCAGAATTTTAAAGATGAATTTTGAGACTAACTAGAGCATGGCCCACCTGTGAGCCATGGGTTCATGACCTTTTTTCCCCTCCAGAAATGGAAAAGTCTATCATTTTCCTATGAGGAAGGGACAATGGTCATTTTTAAAAAATCATAATTTGAAATATGCATTGATTGATCCATTACCATGGGGTTTGGGAGGCTTTAGCCATGAGTAAGATAGGCAGGTACTCTGCCTTTGGTTTGGCAGGCGTGGGATGGGGGGTGGTACACAAAACCAACTGTAGTGTAAAGTTAAGAGCATGCACTATAGAGCCCACTGTGTGGGTTTGAATCCTGGCCTCGACTTCTGCTGTTGTGTGGCCTTGGGCAAGTCAGTCTCTGTACCTCAGTTTCCTTTTCTAGAAAACGGATAATATTATTGTCTTCTTTATAGGGTTGTTGTGATGATTAAATGAGTTGTTATATGCAAAGTGCTCAGAACAGTTCCTGGCACCTTGTAAGTGCTATGTATATGTTGTTGTTGTTGTTGTTTTATTATTATTATTACCACCGCTACCAGTATTAGGATATGCACCCTCCCCTTTTTTGTTGGAGAAATAGAAACGAGGAGCTATAATAATTTGAGTTACATAATGCTTGTTACAGTTTTTTTGTTTAGATTAGAAAACAAAAATAGGTGCTCGTTACAGAAAACATTAAAACAGTACAGAAATGTATAATGTATAAAGTGAAGGTTCCCTAAGGGTAGCTATTCTTAAGTTTGATGTATATTGGAAATGCTGACTTTTCACTTTCATAAAATATTAGTGAATCACTAGTAACGCCCACACTTTTAACCATTTTTTCCTTTTTTTTTGAAATAAGCACAAGAGCAAGATGATGTGCTCATAGTTGATTCAGATGAAGAAGGTCCTTCAAATAATGCTGACATCAGTGAAGAAGAGAGAAGTCGCAAGAGGAAATTAGATGAGAAAGAGAATATCAGTGCAAAGAGGTCACGCACAGAACAGACAGAAGAGCTTGACGATGTCATAGCATTAGATTGAACAGAAATGCCTCTAAACAGAACCCTCCTAACTGCAGTAGGTCATCTGGGCAGAACCAGGTTATTTGTTATGTCCTTTGTTCCAAAGGGAAAAAATTGACACCGTTGACCTGAAGATGATTCTGCTCCCTTTGAAAGCATTCATTTTGCTAGAACAATTAGAAACATTGCAGTATGCTGTATTGAAAGTAGGATTATAGTTTTAAAGCCCTTTGAACAAAGTGTGTGCATAACCAGTCATGAGATAAAACACCACAATGCATGTTGCCTTTTTAATGTAAATACCCTTAGGTATCATTTAACAGTTTTAAAATATTGTGGTTTAGTAAAGTTGATACCTGGTTATAAATATTATGCCTTTATTTTTGGTTAGAAGAAGAATTATTTTTAGCCTAGATCTAACCATTTTCATACTCTTAACTGACTGAAACAGATTCAAAGAAGTATCACGTGCTATGCATTGAAACTTGTTTTTAAATGTTAACTGGCACTATGTATATTAATGTAAAACGATGTTAATTTACTCAAGTTTTCAGCTTGTACTGCCTGGTATGTCTGTGTAAGAAGCCAATTTTTGTGTATTGTTACAGTTTCAGGTTATTTATATTTGGTGTTTTGTAGAACTCAAATACGACTACACTGTACTTATGGACCAAATAAATGGCATCTGCATACTTGTTATACGAGCCTGCAGAGTTCACGTTTCTGCTGCCTTATTGGGTTTATATACTACTGCAGGCATGCAAAATTCTTCCCTTCTAAAAAACTAACTCATAATGGATGTGAAGGTTAAAAATCACCTCCACGGTTTGCCATAGATGAGTACTTTCTAAAATAAAATTTTTAATGGCAATGTTGCTTTTTAAGTTTGGATTGTAAACAACTGGGCTTTTGTTGAGAATTCATTTAAGTGGTCTTTGCCTAGCCCCAGTAACATAGAACCTTGGCTTTGAGATTCCACAGCAGGGGAGAGTCTTCTCCATTCTGCAGTCTTCCCTGGGCTGCCCCTCCAACCCCCAATTCATCAAAGTCCCTTCTTGAGTGTACCATTTAGAGCCCAACTCCAGCATACAGATGTGGCCAGACCAGCACTAGATGGATCAGCACCTATGTCTCTGCCCAGGACCTTAGAGTACCCTGGCCCTTAGGGTTCTTCTCTCTTCACACAGATGTGCCTTGAATTTTCAGATAATAGAAACCCCCTGAAGCTGTTTTCCCCCATTCTGTACCTTGGCCGTTGGTGGTTTTGACCACAGTCGATTCAAATTTCAAGTTGATAGCTCATTGTTTTGTTCCCCTTTGTGTAATTCTTATTCTGCCATCTAGCTTATTAATTCTTACTCCTTGTTTTATATCATTTGTAAATTCAGAATGTAATCAAAGCCTTCAGAAAATCATGTTGAACAAGACTCAGCCCTCAGGAGCATGCTGCTTGATGCCCACAAGATGGACTGACTTCCAGCCTTCAGTACAGCAGTGAGCAAGCTGAATCCCCACCTACAACTATAGGAGTCTGTGAGGTTCACTTTACCTTTAGATTTTTAGAAGATGTTCCATTTTCCTCCAGGAAAAAGAAAATCTCAAAATGACAAAACTATGTAACAGACAATAATGAAATATTCTGGAATACCACCTCTCAGAAATGTTTCAGTTAACTGGTTGGTCACTGGTGATCATGGTCAGTTTGGAAATTCCATTCCTAAAACCTCACAGCGCCCCTTTAGACTCAACTGTCCATGTGTTTTCAACATTTTGTATATGTATGTTCTTTTCCATTTTAATGTACATGGCAATGAGTACCAGTTTGATCTGTAGAGATACGCTTGTGTTTTGGGAGACCAGTGCATTTTGTCTCTACAACTCTGTTACTACCTTTTCCAGCAGGGTCTGTCCCTTTTCTACCTGTTTCAATAAAATCAGGGTCAGCAAGGCAGGTCCAACACAGAGGTATTGCCCAAGTAGACTAAGCAGATCCAAGCTGCCTCCACATACCTGGAGCATGGAGACACTCCAGATTTGGCCTTGTGTTCATGGTTTTCCCATGTGAGTTTGTCTTCTCAGTTGGGGAGCCAGACGCAGAGCTCGTCAAGGGTCTTTCCCCAGCAGCTCTATCCTGAAATAGTCTGACAAACCATCTTCCAGCCTTAATGGGAACGGTCTGGTGACTCAAGTTTACCTATGTAGCCTGTTGTCTCAAAGATCAATCTGCATACTTGGCATGTATGAGAAGATTCAGTGTTTTAATATAGAATAGCTTGACCCCTTCATGAAATAACCAATCAGGCGGACATCAATGGATGCCAAAACCTTTTGCAAAAGGCTGTTGAACAGAATCTTTACACAGTGCTCAAATGTTGCTATAAAGATAATTTGCAAAACGAAAAAATCAACCTTTGATAACGGACTGATCTGTCACCGCTATAAACCTGTCTTCAAACCTAGCATCAATAATGGGACAACTTGATGTGTGCTTCGTAATGAGATGATATGAAGAATACAACAGAACGTAGGCAAAAAAACCCATGTTAACCTGAACTTAATCCACCATCTAGACCTGACTTCCAGCTGACAGGAAATAGAGGGGGTAGAGGAACAAACCAAACAACATTAGGAGACAACTACAGAATGTGGGACATTCTGGAACTCAAGTGCAAAATAAATGACTTTAACAATTCTTGTGACAATTGGAAATGGAATAAAGTGATAATGGAATTATTTTCTTAGGTATAATAATGTACTTATGGAGGCTACTGTCCTTATTCTTGGAATATTAGGAATGAAATGAAGCTTCATAACAACTTTTAAATGGCTCAGCAAAATGTATAATAAAGATAAAATTAACATTTATTGAATCTAGGTGGAGCCTGTATACATTGTTCATTGTACTATCCAACTTTTCTCTGAAAACTTTCGTAATAAAGGTGGATATATATATATATAGTCTGTATTTTCCTTTTGAGCCTATGTGACTTTCAAGTTTTGTAATGAATATATTCTATGATTTAAATCAAAAAGGCAATAAAGTTATTAAAAATCTAAGTTGGCATGAGAAAGTGTTGCAGTGATTCCTGGGTCCAACATTTATGAAGTCCTCTGTGTCCTTGTTGCTAGGCTGTGACTTAGGAAGAATTCTCTTTCACTTGAGTCTCCATAGAATCAAGATAGCCAAGTTGCTCCCAGTAGATTAGTGGTTCGCTTAGAAGTTGTAGAAAACATTTGGTTCATAATAGGTGTTCCTGTTCCTGAAAATTGCCCATCGGTAGCAGGCGTCTGAAGGCATCTGGAAAGGACCTGCTCTGTGGCCAAGGAACATGGGCAAATTTAAGCTTCCTACTAGCCTTTTGTAATCTATAGAAAATCGAAACTTAAAAAGTCAAAGCAGGGAAGAAAGGATGATGGCAGATATTTCTAGTCATTGTGTCTTGGGGAGGTGGTAAAGGCCTCCCAGCATCTCCATTTTGACCATTTCCAGGAGGATATATTTAGAGAAGTATTTTTATAGACGCTTTCATACTGGGAATACATTATTTGCATTCTGCACACAGAGGGAAGTTTTTTTTTGTCCCCTGCAACTAATTTAAAATAAATTCCAGCCAAGAGTTTTGAGAAATTTTTGAACTGCTCTCACTAAAAAAAATCAAGTTGAACTACAGGATTATGATGATGCTGTGCAGTTTGATTATATCTGAAGATACTATGTTATTCTGATAAAATAACATTTTGGGGAGTTTTGCTAATTGTCTCTGACTCAGCTTTAAACATTTTTAATCTTGCAACAAGTGATGACTTACATAGGCAAAGGCTCAGAAAAATTTTACTAGAATGTACAAATGCTCCAGGGTCCTCAGGCTTTTACTTTAGAAATCCACCAACGGGATTGCCTGGCTGGCTCAGTCAGTAGAGTATGCCACTCAATCTCAGGGTGGTGAGTTCAAGCCCAATATTGGGTGTAGAGCTTATTTTAAAAAAATGGGTGCCTGGGTGGCTCAGTCAGTTGAGCATCTGACTGTTGATTTTGGCTTAGATCATGATCTCGTGGTTTGTGGGTTCAAGGCCAAAGTGGGGCTCCTCGTGAGCCTGCTTGGGATGCTCGCTTTCTTCCTTTCTGCCCCTGCTTGCCTGCGCACGCTGTCAGAAAAAAAAAAAAAAGATCCACCAACAATTCACTTTCTCAGGTCAATCTCAGAAAAATGTAGGCATTGTGTACAGTGTCATTCATTCTATAAACATGTATTGCATCCCTACTCTGTGCCGTGCCACACTGAGAAAACCTTGACAGCCTGTGTAGAAACCTTTGAAAGCAGTAAGACACTAAGGACTATTCACAGAAACTCAACTTCTTAGAGAAACTCGAGGTAGCAATAGGCGGTAGGATGGGGATCTGAGGACCCACATCTTCTGTGTTGTCCAGGTTCCCAATTGGTCCCAGCATCTGCTTCCAGCAGCACTGAGTCATGAACACCAACCCCAAGCTCAAAAATGTGATACCAAAAGCTGTTGGAATCAACATTCCCAAATGCTCCCCACCCCCTGCCCCATGGAACTGCAGACCTGCTGGGTATTTGTTTGCCACACACAAAGTTTGTGTATAAATGCCCTTTCCTGGGTGCAGGATAAGGTTTCAGGGCAAGAAAGGGAAGGTCCTTCCAAGGAAGGACCAACTGCTCCCTGATGAAGGAAGGAAGGAAGGGGAAATTATCACATCCTAACCCTAATTCTTAGATTGGGGAACCAAGCCTGTCCATGGCTTTGACTCTTCTGTACCTCTGAAGAGGCCAAAGGGGGGATACCAGGACCAGGGGAAATTGGTGGACTCAATCTGATAGAAAAAGCTGGGCCTCAAAGGAGGGGATGGAAAAATCCCTTTGGGGACAGCTCCCAGTACATGCCCTCCCAGTAGAGAACACACACCTTGGGTCTGGTGCTGTGCGTGGGAAGACTGGCCCCTAGGAGCTGAGCTGGGAGAGGTACAATTGGGCTTCAAGTGAAAGATTTCCTGCTGCTCTCCCTAGGAAGTACTATTTCATAAGGGTAAAGACTGCTGCAACCTGGAGGAGGGAAAGAAGAGTGGATCCCAGCAACTCCTCCATGTGGAGTTTGGCTGTGTGCCGTCCCTCTTCCCTCAGAACCCAAGTTAGACAGCCACACTTGATTGGCATCTGAATGTGTCCCAAGACCGTGGGGAAAAAAACCTGACTTGTGTCTATAATTGGGGTCCAGACACTACAGACAGATAAGGGGATCTGATGGAAGCCAGATTACAAGGAGAGACAGGAGGAGGATCTTTTTGTTGTTTTTGTTTAAGGTTTATTTATTTTTGAAAGAGAGCACAAGCAAGGGTAGGGGCAAAGAGAGAGAGAGAGACAGACAGAATCTGAAGCAGGCTCCAGGGCTTGAAGCCACAAACTGGGAGATCATGACCTGAGCCAAAGTCGGATGCCTAACTGACTGAGCCATCCAGGTGCCCCAAGTTGAGCGACTTTGGCTCAGGTCATGATCTCATGATCTCGTGGTTTGTGAGTTCGAGCCCACATCAGGCTTGCGGCTGTCAGTGCAAAGCAGGCTTTGGATCCTGTCTGCCTCTCTCTGCCCCTCCCCTACTTGTGCTTTCTGAAAAATAAATAAACATTAAAAATTTTTTAAAAAACATTTCTTGGAACATTACTGCATAGAGTATTTTTGTTTGTGTATGACGCCATTAATACCACCAAATTGCTCTTCCTGACAGGATGTGCCAACTGACACTCATACCAGTAAAATATATGCAACTTTCACCACGTCCATTTTTAAATAGTAATGTGGTCAGTGAAATGTGATACTTCATTGCTGATTTAATTTGCTTTTCTCAGAGTGTGGAGATCATTTTTCATGCAATGATATCCTCCAGATATTCGCTCCCCCAAACACTTGCATCCACGTGTACCTGCCCTCAACACCGTGAGCTTGGCTGGCGGTGGGTGGCCGGGTGGGTTGGATTTTTGCAAGACCTGAGAGGTGCTGGGGAAGAACTGCTCAAACAGTGGGGAAGCCACTGCTCAAACGCCAACTGAGGAGAATGGCGCTCCTCATCAATGTTGAGGCCGGACACCCTGGTCAGTCTGCACCAACACAATTCCCCATTCAGGCTCCCTGCGCCCAGCGACACTGTGGGCACCTTCCTGAAATCCTCTGAGCAGGGAGTGCCTGCAAAAGTGAAAAGTCTTCCACTCAAGGTCGTTTTCCGTTTTCTGAATCCACCGGGTCTTGACAGATGATGGTTTGCTTTTCTTCTCTACAAGCTGTTTGAAATATACAAGGACAAGAACTCGGTAGCTTGTGCTTTGGGGAGACAAAGCACTAGTTAGCTCTCCTTCACTGCTCCTCCCTCCCAATGTGGTCCCTGAGGCTCCACTCCGTCCCAGTACCTGTGGCAGCGCAGGTGATTCCAGGAGCCTCCTTGGTGCCTCACCCGGGGCCCCTGAAGGCAGATGCTGGAAAAAGGGAGTGTCCTCACAGCTCTTCGTGACTGCCTAGGGTGGCCACATCTGGGGCTCACTAGCCCACTGGATTAGCCTGAGGCCTGCTTCCAGCCTGGCCTGGCCTTGGGGGCCCGCGACCTGTCCCCAGCCAACCCTGGCTCCCAGCACTCGGCCCCTTCCCCACTAAGTAGTCGGCGGCTCCTGAAACCGATGCGCAGCTTGTTGGCTGGCTCCGGGACCGGCTGG